ATATTCTGGTCTCCATTTATATATCAAGTTTTAAAACAGGGAAAATTAGGGGCGCCTGGGTGGCGCAGTCGGTTAAGCGTCCGACTTCAGCCAGGTCACGATCCCGCGGTCCGTGAGTTCGAGCCCCGCGTCAGGCTCTGGGCTGATGGCTCAGAGCCTGGAGCCTGCTTCCGACTCTGTGTCTCCCTCTCTCTCTGCCCCTCCCCCGTTCATGCTCTGTCTCTCTCTGTCCCCAAAAAAAATAAATAAAAACGTTGAAAAAAAAATTAAAAAAAAATAAATAAATAAAATAAAACAGGGAAAATTATATGGTGCTAATATTCAAGAAGGAAGGAATGAGTATGGGAGGGCCTCTGGGCGTTGAAAATTTACTGGGGCACCCGGGTGGCTCAGGTGGCTAAGCGTCTGACTCTTGATCTCTGCTCAGGATATGATCTCATGGTTCTGGAGTTCGAGCCTGGTGTCAGGCTCTGCACTGATGGCAAAGAGCCTGCTTGGGATTCTGTCTCTCCCTCTCACTGCCCCTCCCCAACTTGTGCTCTCGCTCTTTCAAAATAACAAAGTGAAAAAAATAAAAAGAAAATGATTTATTACTTGACCTGGGTGGTGGTTACATGGAGCTAAACACTCACAATACTTGTTTTTCTACATTAGACTCTGATTTAAAAAAATATTTTCAACATGGATCATATGACACAGAATGCTATGCAATATATGATAAAAAAGGATGTTTTTCAAAAAAGCACACGTGATGATCCCATTTGTGTAACACAGACCAATAATTCTGTGTATTATCTGTGTTTGCATATAGCACGAATGTTAACAGGTACTACGGGACAGAGACTGGGACACCCAGGTCAGGGGAATTTTATTTTACTGAACACCTTTTTGAAACCAGGAAACGTACTACTTGCAGCAGGTATTACAAATTCCAACAGAAAGAGTACACAGTAAAAAGTTCCCCTCCTACAGCAATAGTTATTCCCAGTTTTTAATAAAATCTGTCAGAATTATTCTATGCACTTTAAAAGATTAAAGAAACCAGCAGCACAAACAACAGAGGATACCACAGACACAGTTCTGCACCTTGCTTTTGTCATGTATCTTTTAGATCATTCACATCAGCGCCTATTAAGGTACCTTATTCTTTTTTTTTTTTTCAACGTTTATTTATTTTTGGGTCAGAGAGAGACAGAGCATGAACGGGCGAGGGGCAGAGAGAGAGGGAGACACAGAACCGGAAACAGGCTCCAGGCTCTGAGCCATCAATCAGCCCAGAGCCTGACGCGGGGCTCGAACTCACGGACCGCGAGATCGTGACCTGGCTGAAGTCGGACGCTTAACCGACTGCGCCACCCAGGCGCCCCTAAGGTACCTTATTCTTTTGGATAGTTACATAGTATTTCAACTTATGGAAATACTGTCATTCAACTCTCCCCCCCCCCCCCCCCCCCCCCCCCGCCCCCCAGGCACATTTACATTGTTTCCAAGATTCTGCTATTAAAATGCTACAATCAACATCCTTGTATATGTTTTCCAGTGTATATGTAGAATTAACTCCGAAAAGCAAGGCTGCTGGACCAAGGGCACCTGCATCTCTAATACTGGTAATTACCTGCCACACTGCCCTCTAGAGAACTGTATGAATTGACACTCCCACCAGCACTGCACAAGAAGACCGTTTTCACAAATACTTTCGTGACTTTTATTTTACATTTAAATCCTGTTTCTCCAATATAGGAAAATCCGCCCAGACTCACTCATAAGAGACACAAATACTACTCCTCACCTAACTGGTAAAAACCCAAAGCTATGACAACCTTCATCTATTGATTACTATGGAAAAATGGTGACTCATACGATGCTGGTGGGAATGCTAAACGGTACATACTCTAAGAAGGGGAAGTTAACAATATCTAGCAAAACTACACATGCATTTAACCTTTGGCCTGGAAATCTACATTCTGGGGAAGCTATCCTAGAAGTGTAAAGGCCAAAGTGTGAAATGACACATGAACTAGAGCATTACCTGCAGCACCATCTGTCCCAGCATTAGATGGAAACAACCCAATGTTTGTCACCAAAGGGAAAGAGTAACTATGCAGGTGTAGAGGGAAAGACGAAGCAAGGCTCAAACTTGCACCTATCACTGCCTCAAAGGTTAGAAGGTGGGGTTTACAGATAGACATGGATTTGCATATGGTTTTGAGGGGAAACAAAAAAAACAGTGGAAGGACGATCAGAAAGTAATAAAACAGGAAGGGAACAACATGGAGTAGAAAGAGGTGGCAACTGGACTTCTGAGTGTATTTTGCTTTATCATACGTTCTTCGGACGATTTAAGTATTTTATTTTACATAATTAAAAGCAAACTATATTCAAAAATAAAAGAAATCCCTAAAACATTAAAATACACTGAATAAACCTTACCGTATATCAAGTTGGTGCTGTAAATGAGAACACTGAATTCACATTACTTTATAACACGTATTTTGATTGTATATTCCCCAGTACCCATACAAGAATATACAGTAACAACAAAATGAGTCACAAGTAATTCTTAAGCTGGTTTGTCTTATTGTTTGTAATGGCACTGATATCATTATTTTGAAATCGTGTGTACTAGGGACCAATCAAATAAGTAATCATGAAGCAACATTTTTTGTATAAGAATACATAAAAATATAAAATCAAAGAAATTATGTAAAAAGTTCTGTAATCCTAAATCTGAATTTGAAGTATCAGTACAAACTAACGATTGAGCGTCCTCTTTCTAAAGGGTATGCATACCTTAATGGTCCTAGAGACTGTACCTACAAATATCATTTCCAACTCAAAGAAACCAAGGCTGTCTGAACAAAGAGACTTCAGTTTGAGTTGGAAATGTACACAAAGGATTTTTTTTTTTTTTTTAAGTTAAAAAGCACTGAAGTTATTTATCAAAAACTACTGGGGTAAGAGCACCTGTGTGGAGTCTGCTTGGGAGTTTCTCTCTCTGCCCCTCCCCCTCTCACGCTGTCTCACTCTCAAAATAAATAAACTTAAAAAAAATACTGTTTTTCACAAACTTGAAGGTTTGTGGCAACTCTTGCTTTTAGCAAGTCTATTGCTGCCATTTCCCCAACAGCATGTGCTCACTTCATGTCTCTGTCTCACATTGTGTAAGTCTTACAATATTTCCAACTCTTTATTATTATTCTATGTGTTATAATGACCTGTGATCAGTGATCCTCAATATTCTTACTGTAACTGTAACTGTCTTAGAACATCACAACCCATACCCGTGTAAGGTGGCAAACTGAACTGGTAAATGCATGTGTCCTGTTCCACCAACTGGCACTTCCCCCACCCTCTCTCCCCCTTTCCTCGGGCCTCCCTATTTGCCGAGATACAGCAGTATGGAAATCACACCAAGAACAAGCCTACAATGGCCTCTAAGTGTCCAAGTGAAAGGAAGAGTCGCATGTCTGACTTTCAAGCAAAAGCTACAAATGACCAAACTGAGTGAGAAAGACAGGTCAAGAGCCGAGACACTGAAAGCTAGGCTTCTCATACCCAATAACCAAGGTGTGAACGCAAAGGAAAAGGTATTGAAGAAATCAGAAGTGCTACCCTAAGGAACACACAAATGATAAAGTGAGGAGGCCTTCTTGCTGAGATGGAGGAAGTCTCAGTGGGCTGGACAGAAGACCAAAGCAGCCACAACATTCCCTTAAGCCAAAACCTCATCCAGAGCAAGACCCAGCTCCTCAATTCAACGAAGGCTTAGAGGTGAGGAAGCTGAAGCAAAGTCTGAAGCCAGCAAAGGCCAACTCAATGAGGTTTAAGGGAAGAAGCTGTCTGCACAACAAGGCAAAGCAGCAAGTGCTGATGGAGAAGCTGCAGCAAAGTTACCCAGAAGATCCAGCTAAGGTCATTAATGAAGGCGGCTCCACCAATCAACAGATTTTCAGTACAGAGAGCCTTACGTTGGAAGAGGCCATCCAGGACTTCTGTAACTATAGAGTTGGTGCCTGGCTTCAAAGCTTCAAAGGACAGGCCGAGTCTCTTGTCACGGGCGAATGCAGCTGGTGACTTCAAGTTGAAGCCAGTGCTCACTGACCGTTCTGAAAATCCTAGGGCCCTTAAGAATTATCCTAAATCTGCGCATTGTGATGATTACGTGAGGAAAGTTACGTAAAGTGCTCAGCACAGGGCCTATCACAGAGTAAGTGCTCCAGGTAAAGGTTATTATTTAATATTCTTTGTATTCCCACGGCTGCTCTGGCTTAGGCCTTCATCTTCCATTTGTATTACCCTAAGAACCTTCTGGATTATCTTATCTCAAAAACGGTCTCCTCTCAAAAATCTTTCACACATGCCTTATTTTTTTTCTAGCTACTATATATAGGGTGTCCACTACTGACAGGCACTGTGATGGGCATTCTCCAAGCATTGCCCTCAATCTTTGTAATAATCTTTTGGAGATGAAAAGGTTTAAGTGACTTACCCGCCCAAGGCCCTATTGGTAGTAAGAGTCAAGAGTCAAGATTTGAACGCAAGTCTGTCTGGTAGCAAAGCTTGCTCTATTCCCTAGGCCACACTACTTCCTCTTACTAAGAAAGAATCACAAATTTTTCTAAAAAAGAAAATTTTTTAATGACAATATTTTAAAAACTTTCACTAAATTCTCAATGACAATAGGGTGAATCTCTTTTCTAAGACCCAGTGCAATCGGGACTGAATCTACCTTTTCACTTAAATTAGTCTCATTTATGGAATTCTTCATCCTTTTGTCTATTTATCTGCGATACTGGCTGTTTTGTGCCACATGCCCTGGTTTGCTTTCTGGGCTTTCTAGTCCATCCCTGGGTCTACCGTTACCATTCAAGGGTTTGTATCTTCTGTTTAGCTTAGAGGTAACCCCAATATCTGACCAACAGAAGGTGCCTAGTAAACACTGGGTAATCAACTAATCAATGCTTGGAACGCATTTCTCCCATAGCGCAGGATGAACGTACCTGAGAGAAACCTCGAGAAGAACTGTAAGAACTGGTAATGGCATTGCGGCTGGAGCTAGGGATGCCACCTGTGTACGTGCTTGTCAAGGAGCTCATGGAAGAGGTGCGGGATCTCTTATTCAAGTGGTCATCTGAGCTCTGGGAATTGAGACCTCTTTTCAGAGAGCCAGGCCTAATACAAGAGAAAAGGACAGTGAGGTGCGCAAGGCCACGTTCTTTGAAGGCTTTCATCCGTGGCCATAAAATGTTTCTTAAATAAACTTAATAAAAAAGGATAAAGCTCTTAATATTACTGTTACCACTTCAGCTAAATATCTCTGACAAAGGCAGGAAGGGAAAGCCAAATATTTAAAAAGTGAAATGTAGGATTCCACTTAAATAATATTTTAGAAAAAAAAAATATTTTAGAAAATGCACCCTAATCTACAGTGACAAAAAGCAGATCAGTGGATGCCTGGGGATAGAGGCAGGACTGGAGGGAGGTGCTACTAAGGGGCACGGGGAAACTTGTGAAGGTGACGGTTATGTTTATTACCTCGATTGTGGCAATGGTTTAGCAGGTGTATACATGTCAGAACTTATCAAACTGTACACTTTAGACAGGCACAGTTTATTATAAATGTCAATTATACTTCAACAAAGCTATTAAAAAAAAAAATCAGAGTTAAGAGGAACCAACCAATTTTTCTAAGCTTCCAACCGAAACAAAAGTTCTCTAAACATCTTTCTTGTAGAATAGTCATCCAACCTTTGTTACAATGTAGACAACTCACAATCTCCTAGAGTGATGACTGTTAGCCACTCTTACACGGGATGGAGGAAATGTATTTCCCCTAAGGTCCACCTATTTCACCACGGGAATCCCATCTGGAGCCAAACCAAGCGACTGTTTTCCTTCTTTTTTTCCATGCGACTGTCCCTGAAGTTCTTGAAGACCATAAGCCTCCCCTCCCTCATTTCCTTATTGTCCTTGAGATTTTTCTCCTTTGGGTTAGTACTTTGTACCTTTAAAACCCATTCATGCACCACCACCACCCCTTAACATCTTATAATTGCTTCACGTGGAATGAATGTCAGGTTGTGTTTATCTTCTCTTACTGTGTAGGGCATCGAAGCAAGCACAGCACTGCATGGATGATCTGAACAGAATTAAGGGAAGCAGGACTGCCTCTCACCTGCTCCATGCTAGTCTTTGTTCTTTTATCAGTACAGACTAGGAGCACATCCGCTCTTCTGACAGCCTTATCATACTACTAACTCAATAAGCATGTAAGTCACCCCAAGTACCTCACCAATTTCTAAGCCACTTTCCCTTCTATCCAATTCTTCCTTAAATATACTTCAACTCACACGTACAAACTTAACATTTATCTTAAATTCCACACTGTTGCATTTTATCCATTGCACAAACCTGTTTACATATGTGGTTAAATACATTTACAAACTCTTAGCCTTACCATATTTTATCCATAGTAATGAAAAAATATTAGAAGAAATTAGATGATACTGTGGCACATTACTCAAAATGTTCCTCTCCAATTTCAAAGATTTGAACCTGAATTAATAAAGCATCACAAAAAAGCACAGAGTAAAATCTACAGGAAAACAGCTCTGAGGGTTCCCTTTCCCCAACAGTCTATCTCATTCAGATAAGAGTCTCACTTACTTAGGCACAAAAGCAGCAGGAACTCCATTAGCCACCAGGGGCTCAAATGCTGAATGTCCACTCCCACTGCTATCATGGCGCCTGTGACAAATCAAAAAACCCTCAATTAAATGAAATGACTGGTTTTTTTTTTTTTTCTTAGAGTATCTTCTCATATTCCTGGAACCTTATACTATTTCCATGGCATATAAGTTCCACGCTAGATAAGGAAAAGTTGCTTCAAATCCTAAAGATTCTGAAAGGTAAATTTATTCTAAGATTGTCCTCATAGCAAGGGAAGTATAAACATGCTTCAAGACCTTTTGACCTTATTAACGTGTATCAATTAATTGCTAACTTCTCTCCAAAGTTTTACAATCACAAATTTGATACTCTACCATCCACAGATTAAAAACAAAAAACCAATGAACACTTTAGGGACCAACCCACACATCGCATAGTGTTCTAAAGGTTAATATGGCAAATCCGTTAGGGAAAAATGTCATATAACACACATAAGAAGGACCTATGCATGGTGCCCATAATCACCGCTTACTCCAAGTGTGAGAAAGATAACAGGGTCTTCAGTTATATAGGCTCATGGGGTGAAGAAAAATTATAACTGGAGAACAAGGGAGACCTACTGGGAATATAAAAAAAAGAGTCCTTCTCCTGCCTCCAACCCCCACTCGCCACCCCTGCTTAGCTAACATTAGTTCAAAGTGCTCACTTGTAAATCGTCTCTCCATCATTAGATCTTCCCACATCACATAAAACACTTCCACTTATTAATATTTCCCTACCTAATTTTCCACTGGCAGTATCAAAGATGGCCATCTTTGAACTTGTAGAAGATGAAAAATCTAGTCTAGGTAATAGAAACAATATATTTAACAAGTATGGGGTCCACCGTCTCCTCAGAGTGCTTCCTTGTCTAATACAAAGAACCCCCCCCCCTTCTAATTAGTCTGTTAGATCCACCCTGTTCTTTTTTTTTTTTAACCTCTAGACACAATCTAGAATTCCTCATCTTCTTATCCAAGTCCCATGGGAACTCCATCTTGCTCGCTGCCCTATCCACAGTACCTGGAGTAGGCCCTGGCAAAAAGAAGGTGCTCAATCTGTTGAATTAAAAGACTGGAATCCTGAACTGATTCTTGGAAAGCCATAAGCAGTTCTGCATCCTAACTAGTGGCTTCAGCCTCTACTCTTTCCACACTCAGGAGATTGACTGTTTATTCCATTTTCATTAAGATATCAGAAATCAAACAATGAAATTGGTTTTACTCTCATTACTGATAAATCTACCATATTCCAGTCTTCACCTTTCTTTCCTAAATGTTTCTTCAGCACAAGTAAGACATTTGAAATGGGGGTTACCCAAATAACTGAACAACACAAGCTGGTGAGGGAAAGATTGTTAGCATTCTCTCTAAAAAATAAGATTCAGCACATTTGTATCAAAAGTATGAGGCTAACATGGCTAACAGCTGTCAGCTTATCTCTGGCACTTATGGAAAAGGTAAATTATAAAGTTTAACTTGTATCTTAGAAAACTAAGAACATTAAAGCCCTTGTTACCAAGCTCTTCCACGGAAGCCAAAGAAGCCTACTATAAATACAAAGCTCACAAACTGGAGTTGGCCTTTGTATCTTTTTGGCAATGATCTGTATTTCAACAAATCACAGGAGTCCATTTGGGAGGCCTGTTTAATACTCTGCTGGGCTGGTTACCTTCTTTTATTTTCCTGGCTATCAAAAAATATTTGGTCTTCTTCCTCCACCGTCCTTTTCTTTCTCTCCTTGAGGGCACTCAGTACAGTTTCCTTTGCACATGGGTCTGGGGCATTATTTGATGGTGAGGACAGTGTGGAGTTGATTATCTGCTCTGGTCTGTAAGGAAAGATAATATTCTAGCATCAACACATTTTAATAACCATGTCAGGGACAGTAGAGTGGCTCAGTTGGTTAAGCTTCTGTCTTGGCTCAGGGCATGATCTCACGGTTTGTGGGCTTGAGCCCTACACATCGAGCTCTTTGCTGTCAGCACATAGCCTGCTTCAGATCCTCTGTCCCTGTCTCTCTCTGCCTGCCCCCCCCCCACATTCACTCTCTTTAAAAAATAAATGAACGTTAAAAAAATAAATAATCATGCCATACAGCACAGACTTCAGCCGCTGGAAATCAGAAGCTAACCGATAAGCAAACGTATACACTGACAGAAACTGCCCCTAGCAATTAAAGCTACAGCCTAAGGCCAAAACAAACATAAAAAACTGTTCAAGGACCAGATTTCGGGATTTCTCATTCAAATAAGCAGTTTCTTCTCTTTTATGCTTTACATTTGTTTTATCAGAGGAGTAGCTATAGAAGAATAAGTGGAAATAAATCGGAGTTCATTCTGCCAGCAGTAATACTCACATTGGCGAACGAGCCAATTTACTATCCGGAGGAGCAATCCTCACTGTCACTGGGCTGCACACCATTTTGGAATTACGAGCAGATAGCACAGTCTTCTTGTGATAACCATTCCAGCACACTGTAGGAAGTACCCCCAGAAGGGAATATTGGGCCTGCTGGATTGGGTATCGTCTTCGAGGTGTTATGACAAACCGGTTTGATAAAGTCCCACAATCCCTATGGAGAATGGGAGACACACTACAGAATCAAAGAAGCTTAAAAGAATGGCAGAAAACGTAGACTCCTAAAGCATCACGTGGGTTTGGTTATTTTCCAGAGAGCTCAGACCGCTTTTTGAGCCACACAAAACAGCATTTTTATGGCAACGTTCCCCCATTCCATCTAAGGGTGGCAAGTGGCAGCTGTTGAACAGCTGTCCCTACAATGGACTTCAACAATTTTGAGAGGGAAATTGAAAACCCTGCCCACACAAGGAAAACTACAATGGGAGGAAAGTGCATGTTAGGGCATGCCAGGCGGCACTTTTCAAGAATTCTCAAAGCATTTCAGTTTTTTATGCTGAGTCATAAGTAATATACACCCAAAGTCAAACATTTTTACCACCTAAAGTTGATCTTTCAACTACATGTGTTTATCCATAATCTAATATTTTCACCAAAGTTTTGGATTTCCTTGTGTCACTCAGCTATTGGGACTAAACGGAAATGCCTCTTTGATATTTATCATCAAATTTTATCAAAGAGGGGTCTCCTGGGAACACCGCTTTGATGTACTTCTCTTACTGGTCGAAAGGAAAAAATGTAACAAAATATACGATCTAAACTATTCTTGAAAGAACAAGATATTTTCACCAGAAGTGGGATATTTTAGTAGCTTATTAAGTATCCTGCTAAATCCATGCCGTATTAAAATTAAGTTTTAAGAACTGTAAGGAAGGAAACAGCTCTGCCATCACATCTCATCCCAAAGGTTCAAGGAGGGCTGGAGGCGGCTGACACACACCAAGGTGTTTAAAGAGGACAAAGCGACACAGAATCCACTTTGACTTAACGAAAAAGAAAATCGGATTTAAAAGTTAAGCCCTCAATTCAAAGCTGGTCGACAAAGAGGAGGGTCTGGGGAAGGTGAGCGTATCTTACCGGTGGGAAGGCCTCCTCGAGGGTCGGAGAAGAGGAGTGGGGAGAGAAGGGTGAATGTGGTGAGCGCGATGCGCCGAGTGCGCTGGCGACGCGGCGCGCGCGGACGCGCAGCGGCGGCCAGGCCTCTCCAGCAGGTCCCTGGCCTCCGGGGCGGGGACAGGCTGCGGGGGGCCGGGCTTGCCCAGGTAACTGCCCATGAGGAGCAGTTCGGCCGGGTCGG